AGGGGAAAAAAGTAGCCGGGGGGCACAGGGGGAGTGGAACACCTATACACTCCATGCAGTTGAGGGGAAGGGAGGGGAAGCACCTACAAAAGGGGTAGGAAGCAAATTCTGCCAAGAACTTGAAGTGTTCCCACTGGGTCCACACAAACCCACTCATTTAGTATATAAAAATAAATCATCCAAATACTTTAAAGAATTCCAGATATAAATATTATATACATAGCTACATTGGTCCAGCTTAGATTAATTCAACTATGCATATAGCAGCTAGGAAGCTTGAACTCATTATAGTAGACACCGCTAACCCAGCATCACCACCAGTTACCGATTCCCTATGCCAAGCAGCTGCTTACTGAACACAGGAGGTTGACCGCTGGGGACAGACACCATTCAGAAAATGCTTTGCGTTCTCTCAATGAATACAAAGCTTTCTCTGATTTTTAAAAAGTGGAGAGGCAAGGCGATGACAGTACTCTCCGCCTTATTCAGTCAGAAAAAGCTTTGCAGTATTAGATTGATTTTCACCCTTTCTTGATTATGAAGAGATGGAAGGGAAAAAAGTGATGGTGGCAATAGAAGACACTATATAATTTGTTATGGTGCTTTAAAAGTCTAGCTTAAAAGTCTTTTTATATACACATGGCTTTTTTTTTTTAATGACACCATGCTCCCACCCACTAGCACCAACCAGTTCTAGTTACCCATAATACTCAGGGACTAATCATCATGCACTGATTGAACAAGGCTCAGGTGCAGTAGGGCTCACAGTGACTGGCAAAGATCTTAAAGGAAACCTGCACTGATAGAAATATAAAAGTTGTCATTGCTGATCTCGTTCTCAAAATGTCACTTGTTTTCCATTTCTGTGAGCCAGTAAAGAGTTAGTGAAACCATATTAGCCAATCAGTGGTTTATGCAGTACTGTAGTATGTTGATCAACATTACAGTAAGGCAACTAATATTTTGTTATTATGGATACATGCTATGTATTGTCTCCATGTCAGTTTACTTTTAAAACAGGTTTGGCACAAACAACACATTTGGTCTATGGGGAAAAACAGAACCAAGTAGCCATTGTGGTAGGGACAGAACTCCATGGGCTAAAGAAAGTGTACTACACAATGTTCCATTGTTCTACAACAATTGGTAGGCATTGTAAAACATGGGGTGTTCCTAGAAAGTTTATTATGACATATGCACAGCTTCCACCATTAGGTTTCATTTGCAGTTCTCTGCAATCAAGGGACATCTCAGAGCCCCAAACGAAGTTGGTGATGGAAGACGTCCCTCGGGCAGATGCTGTTTGAGAACAGATCTGAATGGGAGCAAGTAGCTATTTAATGCTCACTACTGTATGTGCCATTGATTGCAGGTCCCAATCCAATCAATGGATAATGGGGAAGTATCTAGATTCAGGGCCACCAGCCCATAATATTTTATTAGTACTGGCCCAGGATGTAAATGCCTCCCTGCTCAGTCATCCACTGGTCCCCTTTATATTGGATTTTGATTAGTTTTTTTATATTGGATTTCTGATTAGTTTTTCAAGAGGACCTGATTGGAAGGCTACAGGCTGGGCCATTTTTCTGGATCTAAACATGACGAATCAGAGATAGCCTGATGTAAACCAAACACAAGTCCATTTACTTATGGCCCTCCACAGAGCCATCATGGGTCCACTGCAGTCTCCTGTCAAATTACCAACACAATCTGAATGGGCACGGATGTCACAAACCACACATTCATATGGTACACCTCTGATTCATGACACCCAGGGTCTAGGAGGCATTATCAAGCAGGGTAATTTCTGCATCTCGTTGATCAAGCCAGGATGAAGCCATCTCCGTGTCTTTGCAAAGTGCACCTGATCTTCACCCACCACCTGAAGGCAGACAGGGAACAACATAGCGTACTTCAGATGATGAATGTGAAGGCGCTGTTTAACATCCATTAGGCTGGAGCGTTGCTTCTGGTCCTCTGCAGAGAAGTTCGGGAATACCGACACTCAAACATTTTGGAATGGGATGTTGCCCTTATCCCTGGTTAGCTGGAGAACAGCATCTCAGTCTCTATAATTAAAGAACTTTGCTATTAAGGTGTGGGGCGGTGTACCCTCTGGGGGCTGATGAGCCAGTATGCAGGGTGCGTACTTTACTACAAAAGGTGGTGATGAAGGCCACCCTGCCTAAGGTGGTAATCAGGAGGTTCTCTAGGAAAATAGCAGGGTCATGGTCTTCTGAGCCCTCAGAGGCCAATAAAGCGGAGATTACAGCACCAAGCCCTGTTTTCTAGGTTGTCCCACTTCTGGAGGAGTTGTAGAAGTTGGCGCTGCATGGCTGTAAGGGATGTCCTACAAGGGATGGAGTGTCCCCAGCGCAGCTAATCCAGGCCTCGGCCTCAGTAATGTAGTCCTGGAGCTTATGCATGTCCTGGCATATGAGGGATATATCCACCTTCACCTCCTCTATTTTCATTGTTAGAGCTGTCTAGAAGGTTAAAATAGTCTTCAGCACCAAGGCTGTATCAGCTGTGGCAGGTTCCAGGGTGGAGGTAGCAACAGCGCCATCTTCTTCAGAGGGGTCCTGTCCTATCTCCAAATGTATCCAGAGAAGGTGTAGCCGAGGCGACCTTGTGAGGAGGCAACATATGGAGGGAGGACAGGAGCGCTCCAGACAACTGAATGAGGTGAGAAAAATCGGTAGCAGACACTCAGGATATCAGAGACAAGATAAACTGGGAGCAGAGCACAGCATACATGCGTCCTACTCCATTGCCATCCCGGCTACACCCCAGTACAGCTCTGATTAGGTAGGGTATCTGTTCATGGATCCCTTGGTGAACAGCGTGCAGCTGGCAGATCTAATCAGCGTAAACTAGATTTGAACACTGTCTGTCCTAACAAAAAGTGTTGAAAATTTAGAAGCTGGGCTTCTCTATTGTAAGTAATTAGAAGGAGCTTACTATGTTCCCTGCCTTTCTATTGAGATAGACTCACACGGAACTTGCTGAGAAATTCTTGGGGCCAGCAAGGCTCTCCTAAGAAAAGAGGTAGGAAGTTTTTAGGTATCAAAACAAAATAAATAAATAAAAAAAAGGGGGGGGGGGGGGGGGGGAGGATAAGTGGTTAAACTGCTGTTGGAAGTGGCATTTCTAGACAGCCCCCTGTATTTACTGCCGATTATGCTTTACTACTTCTACCCACTGTCACCAGCAATATGGAGGGAGTGCAGATGTAAGGAGGAGCATTTGAATAAAAGCGCATATGTCCATTTCAGAGATATGCCATATTTGGTGAGTGTCATTGGATTGGGGGGAGTGTGTTTTGAGAACAAGGTGTTGTGGAGAAGATGCTGCATGCTCATTGTACTCATTTGGAGTCTACTATTCATATGGTGATTGTATTCAGGAGATGACAGATCACAGTGTTTCCATTGTAAATGGATTGAACATTTCACAGAGTGTTTCAGCACTTTCATGTTATAATTGTTTTTAGAATATGTACTTGCGCTCCCAGTGATTCAGTGTTTATTATAGAATGATGTTCAACAGGCATTCATTTTAAAGTAGCAGCAGTACTCATCTGGGGAGGTTTTTCGTTGTATTGTTAAATCACACCTATGTATAGTTTTTTTTTTTACGTTAAGTTTACACATTGTGCGAACACATTTATCCTTTGTTAAATAATTTTTATTTCTAAAATTTAAAAACTATAGTTTTGTTTCACTTCATTGCATGGTGATTGGGTGACTCAAATTTGACTGCAGAAGTGGAAATACACTTTAAACCCCTTTGCGTCGGCACCTCCCGGCCCTTTAAGAGTTTCAGAAGCCAGGAGGCGGAGCAGGGTTTTAGGGTCATGTGACCGCCATGATTCGCTTTCACATGAACGGAAAAAGGTCCCGATCGCAAGGGGAGATCGGGACCTTTCCAGGAGTCTTGAACATATGTGCTGGGAGCACGCAGGGCGTGCGCTCTCAGCACATAAGTATTATCAAATGGTACACAAATATGCAGCCATTCGGCGTCAAGCCCAGATGCCGAGAGGCCGCATATTTGCGTGTGCTCTGCGTCTAGGGGTTAAGAAAGCCTGTTCTGACAGCCAACACATGGCTAAGTAACAAACATCCAAAATCCAGCGCTAACGTACCAAACAAGATTTGGTCTAAGCGCTAAAGGTTTTTTACCTTATGCATTCGATGCATTATGGTAATAAACTTTGTGTGCATCTCCCCCACAGCCCCCCTAATACTTACAGGACCCAGATCTCGATCCAGCTATGTACACGAGAGCAGTGGATCTCCCCCTCCTCACTGGCTCAGAGACATTAGCTCCCACTGTTGTCAATCACAGCCAGTAAGGAAGGAGCGGGACTTGGGAGAAAGCATGCACAAGTGCCCCCATAGTAAATGGCTTGCTATAGGACACTCAGCAAGGGGGGGATGAGCCAGATGCATTGGCAGGGAACCCGAGAAGAGGTTGTTCAGGGCTGCTCTGTGCAAAACAATTGCACAGAGCAGGTAAGCATGACATGTTTGTTATTAAAGAAAATAAATAACTTTAGTATCACTTTAAATATGTTTCTCCACTCCACCTTCACCCATGTGACAGCATATGGGTCGACCTGGCAATAGGTCACACAGGCACTGTGGGATGTGGCAAGTCTACTCTCCCCATACACTAAAAGATCAGGATATTTCCCCAAAGCCCAGCGTTGATGGCATCAGGATTAGTCTTACACAAGCGATACGCTCAGGCCCTTCATGGTGTCTGGTATTTAGTCAAAAATTAATCTTGATTTGCTGGTTAACATATATTAGAGGTAAACAATGTCTTATCTGAAGCACGTGCAAACTGGACAGGGTTTACAAAACAAGATGTTACCTTATCTAGTTGACTCTGCACACAAGGAAATGAGAAGGTGAATCCCAATGGCAAAACCTCTTTACCAAGGTTGCGATGTTGAAGGAAACGGCCAAGGCAATCAGCAACATGGTCAAACAGCTGCAGACATGAAAGAAGAAATAATCATATTTTGAAATTGCCCAGGTAAAAATGGCATATGTATTGGAAGATTATGAAAACCTATGCAGACCCTCCTTCCGAAATGCTAGTCGCCTGGCTTTCATGCGCATCACATGGCTTCAGTAAATAGAGAAATTCACATAGAACACGTATGCAGATCATAAGTACTGGCTTCACTCTGATTTTAATACTCATGTCTTGGTATTTATCTGTCGTGCTGCACACCACAATTGTGAAAACTTACGCAAAATTAAGCGTAAACAACACCTGGATCCAAGCCACTGACTCCGCCTCCCCTGCGGCACTCATCTGGTCCCATTCACCCAGACCGAGCGAGCGGCCGTAGAGGTGGTGGGGTCGACGTGCTCTTGTCACCGCTGACCTTCCAGGTCCTCCCAAACGCCCGCCCCATCTCTATCCTTCTCCTCCTTCGAGGCCCACTGCATCCGACTCTTCTCTCCCACCCCTCTGAGGATTGCAGTAATCTATCGGCCTCCTGGACCCGTATCCCACTTCCTTGACGACTTTTCCGCCTGGCTGCCCTTCTTCCTCTCCTCTGAGCTACCCACCATCATCCTTGGAGACTTCAATATCCCTATCAATGTCAACAATCCGGCTACATCCCAACTTCTCCACTTAACCTCTTCTTTTGCACTCACACAGTGCACACAGTCCTCCACCCACACAGATGGGAACACCCTGGACCTCGTTTTCTCCCATCTCTGCACCCTCCACAACCTCACAAACACCCCTTTCCCTCTCTCTGACCACAACCTCATTACGTTCTCCGTCTCCCCGTCCTATAACACCTCCTCCCCCAAATGTCAAACCATCACCAGCCGTAACCTTCGCAACCTGAACCCAGCCCCTTCCACTCTGCAGCTGACCCTCTGTAAGACATTATCCTTCCACTGTCATGCCCTGACCTGGCCACTACTGCGTACAACGACTCACTTTCAGCTGCCTCCTTAGCACCCCTAACCACACGTAGCATTAGACCCCGACCGCTTCAACCCTGGCAGAACGACCACACTAAAAATCTTAAATGACGCAGTCATGCGCTGGAGTGATTATGGCGCAAAACCAGATCCCCTCGAGCATTCTCCCTCTACAAATCCGCCTTCCTCACCTACACCTCCTCCCTCCATGCCGCCAAACAAGCCTACTTCGTAACCCTCATCAACACCCTCTCCACCTGTCCTCGCCGGCTCTTCTCCACTTTCAACTCCCTACTCTCTCCCCCCCCCCACCTCCACCCAGTACCTCACTCACCGCCCACGAGATTGCCAATCACTTCCAAAATAAGATCGACGCAATCCGTAAGGACATCACCAATGCTCAACCTACCTCCCTACCTAGCCTCCCTCCCACCATAACCCCACTAACTCTCCCCTCCTCTGACCTCGCAACCGCCCTACCCCCCACCACACCTAACGACCCGCACACTATAACCTCCCCAACACTCCGCTCCTACACTCCCTCGGCATCAGAGACCCTGCTCTCTCCTGGCTCTCCTCCTATCTATCCTAACGCTCCTTCAGCATTACCTATAATGCTACCACCTCCCCCTCTCTCCCCCTCTCTGTTGGGGTCCCCCAAGGCTTGGTCCTCGGGCCCCTTCTCTTCTGCATCTACACCTCCTCCCTAGGAAATCTGATACACTCCCACGGCTTCAACTATCACCTCTACGGCGATGACATGCAAGTTTACCTCTCCACCCCTTGCCTCACCCCTTCAGTCTCCGCCCGTATCACCCACCTACTGAACGACAGACTGGATGTCGCTCCATTTCCTCAAATTGAACCTTTCCAAAACCGAGCTCCTGATTTTCCCCCCAACCCGTGCCGCCCCCCGTACCCTCTCCATCACGACCAACAACGCCACCATCAGTCCCACCCCACAAGCCAAAGTCCTAGGTGTCACTCTAGACTCAAATCTGTCCTTCCAACCCCATGTCCAATCGTTGGCAAACTCATGCAGGCTCCACCTCCGCAACATCTCCAAAATACGCTCGTTCCTAACCCCAGACACTACTAAACAACTAGACCTCCTACTTTCTAGCTCCCTGGTCTCCACCTCCCATGCCCGACTGCAGGGCTTCTCCAGGACTTCATCCTCTGGAACTCCCTACCCCAATCCATCAGACTGTCACCTACCCTCCTCACCTTTAGGCGCACCCTGAAAACCCATCTCTTCAGGGAAGCCTACCCCGCCCTCACTTAACAGCCGATCTCCTCCACTCCTCCTACCACTCCATCCCCCACAGCCACTTCCTCCTGTACCACTATCCCCTCCCTCCTAGATTTTAAGCTCGAAAGAGCAGGGCCCTTGAATCCCTTGTGTTTTGTTACTGTATTGTCTCATGTACTGTCCCCCACTATAATGTACAGCGCTGAGCAAACCTTTTAGCGCTATATAAATACTGTATAATAATATTATTATTATTATATGTATATGTCCAATAAACTCCTGTGAAAGAAAAAATACTTTAACTCCCATCCTGTATACACATCAATTAGCATAATCATATACATGAAGTAAAAATGTCCACATGAAAAAATGAATACAAATAATTAAAAACAAAAATTTGAATACAAGTCCCCTTGCAAGTGTAACTCAAATCCACCACAGTGCTTCTTGAAAACTCCCGCTGCTGTCAATCACAGCCAATAAGGAGAGAGCAGGGTTTGAGAGTGATCATGCACAAGTGCCCCCATAGCAGATGGCTTGCTATAGGGCACTCAGTGCTGGGGGGGGGCGATGAGCCAGAAACATTGGCGAGAAGAGGTTGCTCGGGGCTGCTCTGTGCAATGGTTTTGCACAGAGCAGATAAGTATGACATGTTTGTTATTTAAGAAAAAAAAAACAAAACTTTAGTATCACTTTAAAATATGTTTCTCCACTATTTTATATTAAAAGAAAAATTTTTTTTATTATGGAGGTATATCATTTCTAAAAAAAAATTTTGTTTTGTTCTGGTCCCATCTCTCTATAACTCACTCTCTCATATATATATATATATATATATATATATATATATATATATATATATATATATATATATATATATATATATCTCAAAACAAGAGTTTGTTTAGAATAAAAAAAAATGTATCATTGATAACTTTTTTTGTAGTGGGGCGTGGTATTTTATTTTACCGCTTGGTAGCGCCCATTCGGGATTTGTAAGGGTTCCAGGGCTCCTAATGTGGTATTTTTATCTCATCACCTGACAGCATACATCAGGAATTTTTATGAGCTCCATTTAAGGGAGTTCTGTATTCCAGGTGGAGGCTTGGTCAATATATGGAGGTTATCAGTGCCATGGAGCGGCCCAGATCAAGGCTTTGATAAGGATATTTATTTCCAAAATGAGGTTTGGTATACTATAAAAGAGCGGCGAACCAGCGTGGCGCTGCGTGCACTAGAAAACGTAATATATAATGAAACACGTTGTGTAGAGCCTTAAGCTGCTGTCACCGTGCAACTGGAAAAATGGAGCAACAGTTTTACATGCTGGCCAGATGGTTTTATTGAATGTGCTATTGTATTTAATTCACATCAAAGTACAATATATTTTATATTAAAGCGTTTAATAGGATTTAGTTTTACTGTGAGGAGCATGTTTGTTTTCCTGAGAGTCAGGAGTGTGAGAATGCACTGAAGCAGCATTTTTTTTTCTTTCACAGGAGTTTATTGTACATGTACATATATGTTGTCTACACTTTATTTTGCTTAAGTAGTTTTCACAATTTTGGTGTGCAATGTGACAGATAAATGCCGTGACTTATTGTACTGTGATGAGCATTTTTTGTGTGCGATTAAGACTTTGTCTTAATACGTTAAGTCACTAACCTGGAACAAGCATGAGTATTAGAAAAAAAGAACAGAAACAAGCAGGCAACCAGTATTCAAGTAAAGGGCAGCAATAAAAAATACTATTATTCCCTCAGTATGTTTTTATTTTCATTCTCTTTTACAATCAAGTATTTTTCCACAACTTCTGTAGGAAAAAAATGAAGGAAGAAAGGAAAAAAAAAGAAAAGAAAAGAAAAAAGAAAGAAAAGAAAAAGAAAAGAAAAAAAAAGAAAAAAGAAAAAGAAAAAGAAAAGAAGGAAAAGAATCACCATTCGACAAAATATATGCCATTGACCATTATATGCTGATGTACAATGTACACCAAAAAAAAAAAAAAAAAAAAAAAAAAAAGAATTAAAATCATTAAAAATTTTACTTACATTAAACATTGCAAAAATCTAAACAAACATGCTCAATGAAAATATACTATACTTTCCCTATAAACATAAACGTTCTCAAAAACACAGGCACTTCTAATGTAGCCTGTGCTTTCAAAAATAAATGTATATTACAAAGAAATAGGGAAAAAGCAATACAGAATATTGGCTAGATAACACAGCAGTCCCATCACTGAGGTTAACGCTGGTAATTGAGGTTTATTGTGCCAGCATGATAGTATATAAAATCACTCAGAGTGAAAACAAAGCTGGGAGCATTGACATATTAAAGAGATAAAACATACAGTATATTAAAATAATCTTAAACTATTTGCCGCTTGCCATCTTCTCTCGATTCGGACAAATGCAGTTTATGCTAAAAGATCTAAAGTAAATTCAAGCTGCTACTATTAAATGTTATTAATCTATCACACAGTAATACACATATTGCCTAAATTTAACTATAATTAAAAGAAGTTGAACTGTGGACCAGAAATAAGTTTGCTGTTAAGAATTGGCAGTTGTTGGCCCCAGCTTTTCTGGTGATTTTTGGAAGTTCTTCTGCACTAGTAAAAAATTGTCTAATTCCCTACTTAAGAGTAGCAATCACTGTCTGGTTAAACAAATTGCTCCCTATGGTACAAGCTACACTAGCTATTAATTGTACAGGATTACAACATTGGGCAATCATGTGCAACTAATACCTACTACATTCTTCTGTGTAGCTAAGACCATAGGGAGACA